TTGTTTTTTTTTTAATGTGTCAAGTAACTTTGGATTATAAAATTTGAATGTAATGTTGATTTCATTCTGGGTCCTCTTGTGATCTGAATAATGCTAAAGTTTTATTTGTTTGTTTTAGTAGGCAGTCAACATGATTGAGTGAATCTTGTGATCTCAGTTCAGTTTTCAGTGCCTTTTCTATTCTGCTTTGGGCCTGCCCTGTGCATGTGTTACTTAGAGGGTAGTCTGACACTAGAGCTGTAGTTTACATTTTAGTTCAAGTCTCAAAATCTTGCTATATTTCTTCTGATCTGTTCAACATTTACAAACTCTGGGTGAGCTCCAGACTTGTGAAGCTTTCCATACAGAATTAGGGGATTCCCCTTTTACAGATCTTTCCTCTGGAAGTTCCCCATACCTTAGAGGCCCTTTTTCCTGGTTCTATTTTTCCAGAAAGATGTGTTTCCATTGTAGTTTTTGCCCCTACCTGCCATGCTTCTACTCTGCTGCACAGTTCCGGGAGTAGGGTCTTTCCTGGGGGAAAAAACATGAGATTAAAAAAATAAAATATAGACAAAATTGGAACTAGTGGTTGTACCTCCAAAGTTTTGACTACCTTCTGTGAACCATTCATTTATGTTTAATTTTCAGAGTCCTCACATAATTGCTGTTTTATTTATCCAGAGCTGTAGAGGAAGAATTAGGCTATTATGCCATGTAGGAGGTGAATTATTTTAAAAATAGTTTATTTGTAATTTTTTAGTATGTGTCATACCACTAGATGTAGGAGAGCAATGTTGGTTTTTTATCACTTAGGTGCCAGATGTATAACAGGGGCTCAATATTTGTTGAATGAATGAATGAATAAATGAAATATTACATCAACTTTGCATTCTAGCATCATATTCAGTGGGAAAAACATGTTGATATATGTACTAATTGTTAAAAATGGAACAGATCTATAATATAGATGGAAGTGTGGCACCAGAAGTCACCTGTAGTCATGTGTTGAAAATAAAATCTGCATTTCCCAACCATTAAGTGTCGAGTTCCCGGCGACTTAAACACTCAAAACTGCCCACCCAGGAATGCCACTTGTCGTGTTCCATGCGACAAAAACACTCAGGGGTCACTCCAGGGGAACTGGGCTGTGCAAAAAAAACGACACAAGAGACAGAAATACCTTTTTCCTTCGGGGTGCTATGACGGCTCCTCTGACCTTAAGGGTCTGCAGAAAGAGAGAGAGTGCATTGACCCCTTTTATTGAGGAGAAGCTATTCAAATGAGGCAAGGGGTCAGGTTTTAAGGGGCTGAGTCTAGCTTCATGATGTCTGCTGTCAGCTGGTTGACTGACATCTAGGAAGGCCACACCGAAGGGCAGAGTAAGAGAAGAGGACACACAAAGGACATTTACATGAAACATTCTATCCCAAACAGGGCAAGGGGTAATATCACAAAGGAACAGGTGTGGGTAGCTTGATCCCTGGGGATGTAGGAAGACACGCCCATGCATGAAGATACATTTGGTTGCATTGTTTCTACCCTCAAGATCGGGCCTACCATCTTCAGCAACTTAAAAGTAGCCGGATCATTGGAGTGTGTGTGTGTGTGTGGGGGGGGAGAATAACCGGCAGAGGTTCAACCAATCAGGAAAGGAAAAATGCTGGTCACATGACAAGGTGGCCTCCCACAATTAAGTGCATATAATTTCTTAAAAGTATGACCAAATTTAATACATTTTATTCTGGAGTGAAGAAATGGGTCATTAGCAAATAGTTTTTCTTTAACATAAGGTAGAATAAATTCCACAAGTAAAATTTATGAGTTTATTTGAGCTATCTAGTGAAATATTTATTTTCATGAATTCCTGTTTTCTGATGATCTGATTTACAAATGTCTTTTGTGTGCTGGGATTTTTATATGTTGCAGATATTTTTTTATAGACTGAAACTCTTAAGGAAAGAATAACCAGTTTTATTGTATTAAAAAAAATAACATTTCCAAGAGAGCAAATTTTGACCTTGACCACAAGAGATTAATTTTCTTATGCTCAGTAGCAATGGTTGAAATTAATCCTGTAGTGTACTAATGCCCCAGTATAGCCCAAGGATTTGCATGCTGTTATTAAAGTATTTCTAAGAAATAGCAAGACTTTTGTGTTTGAATCCTCTCATAGTTTTTAATCAGCCAATTTTGTAAAAAGGGTAGGATAATGAGGTTTGGAAGGAAAGGATATTTCAATGTGAGGTAATATAAAAATTTGAACTTAACCAAGTGATTTTTAATGTACCCCCAAATAGAAGGACCTAAATATCAAAGAATGTGCAAGTTCATTTTTTCTTCTTTACTTTGGTAATTCAGTAGTATGAGTATACATTTCAGCAATATCTTTCCTGATATTTAGTATTACATGATAATAAGAGAAACACTTTTGTTATTTAAGTATTGTTTTGACAAATGTAATTGTATAAAATCTTCACTCAAATGTTATTTTATTCTTTTTAAAATGACACACATTTATTATAAAACAATACAAATATTTAAAGGGGGAAAAGACTTACTAAAATGTAAAAGGTAGTTATCATTACTTAGGCACAATCTTCCTAGTCTTTTTTCCCCAAAATACATACAGAAAATTTATTTTATTATTTTTACAAAAAATAAATACTCTAAGCAACGTAGAGACTGGATAACAGTTAATAAAGCAATAAAAGGAGAAGGAATCCCTGCCTTCATGAAGCTTACTTTTTTTTTTTTTTAAGGAAAAATAAAGAAGCACATAGTATGTTAGGATACTGGGAAGCTGGGAAGTTCTGATTATTAAAAGGATAGTCGGGGAAATCCATATTGAAGTTTGAGTAAAGATTTGAAAGAAGTGTGGGAGTAAGCCAAGAGAATATTGGGATTAGTGTGGGGAGAAGAGTGTGCTAGAACGATCATGTAAATCAACCTATAGCAACACGGCTAGAGCTCAAAGAGATAATATAGAGGAGAAAAAGCTGTTGAAGTACAATGTAAATGTAACAACACATTTTTAAAATAATTTTAAAGTAACATAACAAGAAATAAAATAACTTCTTGTTTCTGGGTATAAGTAGGAAAAGTATATAAATGTAGGGAAAACTTTGAACTTCACATTATCTTTTGTAACTACTGATAATGTCAGAATTTTCAATTTTTACCAATGTGTTGAATTAAAAAACTAATCTTCTGTTATCAGTTTATTTCCCTTAAATTACTAGTGAGTTTCCTTTTTTGTTATTTTGTTTTTAAAAATTTTAAGAGTTAGGGCTGGCTCAGCGGTAGAGCACTCGCCTAGTGCATGTGGGGCCCTGGGTTCGATCCTCAGAAACCATATATAAAAAATAAATAAAATAAAGGTATTGTGTCCATCTACAACTAAAAAATATATTTTTTAAAAAAAGAGTTAATATATACACAACTACAAAGAATATAATTGTAGAGTATACAAAAACAACAACAATCAGCAGTTCCCCCTCCCATCATATTTTTGGAGCCAAGCACATTAAAGTCTTTTGTTATTCCAGGTACTAGTATAGTATTAGTTTGCAATTTTTTGATTTAACTCTTTTACATAGACAGGTACATACCCTTGCTTCTCCTCATTAGTATAATCTCAGTATAATAATACAATTTTCAGTTAAGGGTCAATATTTATATGACTACATTAATATTTTTAACTGCAGAGGCAAGTAGGCAAGTAGTGAACACTTCTATTTCTTGAAAAGCTTTTAATTTTTCTCAAAATAATGGCATAATTTATGACATGTATAATTTTTCTGTGTATCTGTTTTTTAAAATTTATTCAATTCTGTTATATTCCTTATACTAGTTTTCTTCCCCCAATGTTCATAAATAGTAGATAACCTATTAATTCTACTTGTTTTTCTTTTTTCAGAAACCACATCCTGAAGTCTTTCATTCCTCTTGCTCCAGACTAGACTGATTTCTTTCTATTCTCCTGCTGTTTGTCATCTCAGACTTCCTTTTGCTATTTTCCTATGTAGAATCCTTGTTTCCCAGATCCCATCCTTTTCTCTTTCTTGATTGCTTCCTTATTTCAGAGGAATATTCTTTGAGTAGCTTCCCGAGAAAGAGTGAGTATGAAGTAAATTCCAGTTTGCAACTAAGGCTTTCAACAACTGGAGTTCAATAAAAATGTTTTTGGGTATTCCACAGCTCAAAGAATTTACCCTCCCCTGGGGGGCAGCACTGAAGCAGGCCTCTCCGAAGCCTCAGTCCTTGCATCCTAGGCTGTACAGAAGCTTTCTTGGAGACTTAAACTGGGTTGAAATTATTTTCCCCATGACTTTAAAATGCATATTTTCGCAATTCTCTGAATATACGTAAATATTAGGCTATGGCAAAATGGGTACACACTTATACTACTAGCATAATAAAAAGATTATTAAAAATTTTTAAAAAGTATTTGCCCTTCCTTTAAGAGAATAGTGCTTTTATGAGATATTATTCCCATGAATAAGTTATTAATCAATTGACACTGAATTAATCAAAAGGTAGATGATCCTATCTGAACCTTGCCTAATCAGGTGAGCCATTCAAGAGAGGGTGAAATATTAAAGATTAAAGATTCTCTACTGCTAGCCTTAGGATGAAGCAAATTGTTTTGTCATGAGAGGAGGGGGCCAGATGGCAAGACCCTGAATATAACCACTAGTTGCCAAGAGCAGTCTTGGGCTTGGGCTGAAAGCTAGCAAGAAAACAAAGACCTCAGTCATACAACTGCAGACAACCAACTTCCATTAATAACCTCAATGAATTTGGAAAAGGGCTTGGAACTCCAAATGACACCATAGATCCAACTGACACCTTGATTGTAGCTCTGTAATAGTTTGAGCAAGGAATCTAGCCACTCTGCTCAGACTTCTAATCCATAGAAGGTATGTGATAATAAATGGGTGCCTGAAATAATGATTATCTGTTATGCAACAATAGAAAAAGAATGAACCTGTTGGGTATAGAATTCTATGAGGAAAATAATTTTCTGTATGAATTTTAGAGGCATTATTCCATCAGCTTTTAGCTTCCTATGTTGCTAATATAAAATTAGAAGCCATTCCAGTGCCTGTAATTTTGAGCCATTTGTGAGTAAATTTCATAACATATCCCTTTACCTTTAAATATTAAAATGTGTCTTTCCTAAAAACAAATATATTCATTTATATAACAGCATAATCATTAAAATCTAAAAATTTGACATCATTATAGTATTTTCATTCTCAAACATTATTAAAATTCCACAAATTTTTGTTATTCCAGGTACTAGTATAGTACTATTTTGCAATTTCTTGGTTTAACTTCCCTTGGTATGATATCTTTTATAACTTTTTCTTTTTTGGTAGTTCTGAGAAATGAGCCCAGGATCTTATATATGTGAGGAAAGTTCTATCACTGAGCTACAAACCGAGCCTTCTTTATAACATTTTCAAAATGATAAACCAAATCCAATTCAGGGTTATACATTGCATTTTGTTTTTAATTTGGAACAGTTCCTCAGACCTTTGGCTTTTTTTTTTTTAATCTTTCATGACATTGACATTTTGAAAACTATAAGGTAGCTGTTTTGTAGACCATGTCTCAGTTTGGGGTTGTCTGATATTTCTGATATATTCTTAATTTTTTCTCATAGCTCAGACTCTGGATATATATTGTAGCAATAATTATATAAATGCTGTTTACTTTCAATACATCACACCAGAAGGCACATGGTACCAGTTTGTTTCACTATTTGTATTTTTTTTTAAAATTAGCTCTCTGGTTACTTTGTTTGTTTGTTTTTTGAGAGAGAGAGAGAGAGAGAGAGAGAGAGAGAGAGAGAGAATTTTTAATATTTATTTTTTTAGTTCTTGGCGGACACAACATCTTTCTTTGTATGTGGTGCTGAGGATCAAACCCGGGCCACACGCATCGAACCCGGGCCGCTTGAGCCACATCCCCAGCCCCACTATTTGTGATACTAACTTTGATCACTTGATTTAGGTGATGTCTACCAAAGTTCTCTACTGAAAGTTATTTTCCTTTTCACAATTAATAATTGGTATATGGAGAAAATCTTAACTATGTGATTGTTCTGTTCCTAAATTATTTTCACATGAAATATTAGGATTCTCTGATGATTTTTACCTAAATCAATTGTCCCCCTTTTAAAGAGTTTAATCAATTGCTTCATTTGCTGATTTTCTCTGTGAATACCTAGGATCTCTCTTTTATGTATACCAGAATTTTACAATTCTATAATTGGAATTTAATGATAGTGGTATATTGAATTTTTAACTTTTATTACTAGGTTTTTAACTTTATAGAGCTTTTTTATTTTGTTTTGTATTCTAATTGTTACTTTGAAAAAACACAACATTCTCTTCTTATATGCTATGGCTTCCCTTTTCTTACCAAGAAGTCTAACAAAATATCTGGATATTTTCCTTTATTCATTTTCTCTTATCTGAGCTGAGTCTTCCCACCCTACCTCATATTTTTGTTTGTTTCAGTATATTATTATTAGTTAGTTTTTCATCACTGTGACAAAATACCTGAGGAAAAACAACTTAAAAGAGGAAAGACTTTGGCATATGGTTTCAGAGGTTTCAGTCCATGGCCAGCTGGTTGCATTGTTTCTGGTGAGGTAGTATGTCATAAAAAAGGAGCATGGTAGAGTGAAGCTGCTTATCTCATGACAAGCAGGAAGAGAGAAAGGAAGAAGTCAGAGACAAGATTTGTCCTTCCAGGGTATTCCCCCGGTAAACTACTTTCTCCAACCACGTTCCACCTCCTTCACTTTTCATCACCTCCCAATAGTCCATTTAACTATGAATCCATAAGTGGATTAGAACCTTCATGATCCAATCACTCCTCAAAAGTCTTACCTGTGCACATTGCTGTACTAGGGACCAGGTCTTCAAGATATGAGCCTTTGGGGGAACATTCCAGGTCCAAATTATAACACACATTTTGTGTTAGAAGATTTCCTCAAATGTTTGGTTACCCAACTGTCTATTTATATTGGATAATTTTTTTTTCTTTTCTGTACTGGCAATTGCACCTAGAGCCTTGTGCATGCTAACCATGTGATCTGTTGTTGAGCTCCATCCTCAGCCCCCATTTATATTTTAGAATGAGGCCCTAAAAAAGATGAATAGTATTATTTGACTAGTAGGCTGCATTGCACTGTGATGAGTTATTAGGATTCCCACAACTAGGGTACCTGGTTTATCCGTATTTTGAACCTGGAAGAGGTTCAGTGAAGTGAATCAATGTCTTTTCTTTGGTTGTCATCTTAACTTATAGCATCCTCTTCTGTCATTATCTCTCTTTTTTTAATCTTTCAGAAATTTGTTGATCTCTTTTCCTAATTGGTATTCTTAATTTTTCTCCTTTACTTTCCAAGAGTCAATTTATCCAAGAGCTCAATTATTGCAATTTTTGAGGGAGAGAAATTGAACTATGGTCAGTATAATATCTATTCCTGGATATTTTTTCCTCTACATTTTTTTTATTTGGTGCATTATAGTTGTACATAATGGTAGAATTTGCTGTTACATATTAGCACATGCACACAATATAACAATATAATTTTACCAATATCCCTCCCCAGCACATCCTTCCTTCATTCCTTTCCTCCTCCCACTCCCTGGTCTCTTTCCTCTATTCTACTGTTCTCCCTTTGCTTTTCGTGTGGATCACTGCCCCCTCCACCTTTCTTTTCCTTTTTCCTGTCTAACTTCCACATATGAGAGAAAACATATGTCCCTAGACCTCCTGAATTTGGCTTGTGTGAGAAAAAAGACAGAGTTCCTGCAGGGTGAGAGGGGACCCAATGGGAGTTGCCCTGTGTTTGGCTATTTTTTTTTTAAAGAGAGAGAGAATTTTTTTTTTAATATTTATTTTTTAGTTATCGGTGGACAACATCTTTGTTTGTATGTGGTGCTGAGAATCGAACCCCGGGCCGCATGCAGGCCAGGCGAGCACGGCTACCGCTTGAGCCACATCCCCAGCCCCTCTGGCTATTTTTAACATATTTATTATTTTTAAAGAAATTTATAACTGGTTTTCTGTATTTTATCATCTCACCTAATCATCTATTATGGTTTGAATCTTGAATATCCCCCAGATTTCATGACAAAGCCTTGCTTACCAGCCTGTGATGCTATTGGGAGCTGGTAGGACCATTAGGAGGTGGAGAATAGTGGAAGTAAGTTAGACCATTGGGGGATGCCCTTGAAGGGGATATTGGAACCCTGGCCCCTTTCTTCTTTCTTTATTTCCTGGCTGCCATGAGGTGAGTAACCCCCTCTTCTACTTGCTCCAGCCAGGATGTATTGTGTTTCCATAGGGCCAAAGCAACAAGGCCAAGCAACCATGGACTGAACCTTTGAAACCATGATCTAAAATAAACCTTTCCTCCTGTAAGCTGTTTACCTTAGGTATATTGTCACAGCAGCAGAAAGCTGAGAAGCACAATACTATTCTCATGGGAATTTATTTGGAATTGGATTATATCTCTAAGTTAATTTATGGGGAAATGACATCTTTCTAATACTGATTCTTCCATTCTAGGAATTCTTCATTTATGTCAAATATTATTTGATATTTCAGTAAATTACTACCAGGTTCTTCATATACAGAAGGTATGTTTTTTGTAATCTTATTGGTAGATATTTCATAATTTTGATTTGGAACTGATCTCTACTTTATTTTCCCCATTGTATTTTCTAAGTATAGAAAATAAGCTACCAATTAGTATATTTATCTGTATCTGATCACCTTGATGATCACCTTGGTTAGTATATTTATCTGTATCTGATCACCTTGATGCAAATTCTGAAAATGAAGTCATTTCTTCCATAAAATTTTTATAAACATAATTTGCAAATGTATTTTATAATAAATTTTAATGTTTAAGCCATTTTTCTAAGCTTGATGCATTTTATTAGTAAATATAATTTATTTTGTTGTGTAATTAACCCATGAGATTTATTATTTTTTATCCAAATAAACATTATATATATTAGAAGTTGTTGATGAAGATCAATTTATACACTTTAAGAAGTATTCCGTAATAAAAAAATTTGAAAAATTCTATTTTAAAATATTCAATACCTATGATAATACTGAGTACCTGGTAGTAGCTCAATAATTATTTATTAAATGAATGTATTCAGCCCTCCCAGCTGGTTTTTTTTTTTTTTTTTTTGCGAAGTCTTAATTCTCTAAACCCAGACATATGGGGAACATTTTCTAAAAACTCTCCAATGTGAATATTTCATAAAATCCCTGGAAACCCATATTAGTGTTTAACAAATCTCAATGTCAGGAAACTTCCTTACCCTAAGGCTATTTTGCTGTAGTTTAAGTCATTTCCTTTTATTCTTTCCTTAGTACTTCTAGAGGGCAGGTTACCATTCCTGTGTACAAACAGGAGAAGAGCACTACAAGAGACTCAAAATATAGTTAAAGGTTTGCTTAAAAATTTCTTTTCTTCTTTCTCTACCAAGATTCTATAAAATGAGGTTAATTAATTATGGCACCCAGAGGAAAAATAGGTTTATTTATTTCAGAAGATTAGAAAAACATGTCTCATAATTTTAGAGAAAGTTGATACTTAAGGATAAAGATGTTTATTTCACTCTCCTTAGGATTCTTTATACAAATGTTTTCCAAACTTGTCCAATCTTTAAATACAACTGAGGAACTTAATTAAAAAAAAAAAACTTTAGTCCTCACCTCAAATGAATTGAATTGAAATTCTAGGTGGTGCTTGGAACAAACTTGCAATAAAATTAAACAACAACAACAACAACAAAAAACCCATAACTATAATTTTTCAGGTGAATGGCTATGTTCAGTGATCATGGCTATGTTCACTGATCATCTCCTAACGTCAGAATTTCATCTAAATAACATAAATATTGATTACATTGAGCCATAGAGTATATTATTTTATTTTTATATACCCTTTGTGTTTTTGTTAAAATTACTCCATATTTTGTTTCATTTTAAGTGTATCTGTTACTAATTCTTCCCACACTCATTCAACTATATACACAGCAAGATCTGTCAGATGATTTATCTCTTACACTGTTTTTCCTCAGAGCCCTCCTTTCTCCTCCAGTTTAAAATGTTTTAGTTTAATCAACTTAGTTGCACAGTAGTTACACTGAGATTTAACTTTATGGGTATCCTATATCAAATTCCCTGCTTCTTGGATTTCTTGTCTTTTTCTTTTTCTTATCATCTCATTTTAATGAAGCTCATCTCTAGAACATCCAAAGAGAGGATGGGACATAAATTTTTGAGAACCTCCATGTCTGAAAGTATTTTTCTTTAGCACGCAATATGATTAGTAGTGCTTTAGTCTAGTAATGCTGCAACAAAAGTTATACCAGGGGACTTAAAGAACAGAAAAATATTTCTCATGGTTCTGGAGGCTTGAACTCTAAGGTCAAGGTGCCAATCACCAGGGTGTCTGGTGAAGGTCTACTTCCTGGATTGTAGACTGCTGCTTTCTTGCTGTGACCTCACATGACTAGGGGGAAAATGAGGAGACTGAGTGGGTTAGGGCTTCAACATATTAATTTGGAGAGGAAGACAACCTAATCCATAGGAAATAATTTACCTGATAACAGAATTAAGATAGAAATTGTATTCCCTGAGAATTTTGAGAACATTGCCTCTTTTTCTTTCTTTTCCCCCGGATGTGATGTTGTTGAGAAATCCTGTGCCATTCTTATCCTAGTTCTTTGCACATGACTCGATTGTCCATTCTGGAAGCTTTTAGAATTTTATCTTTATTCCTGGTATTCATGTGCTTTGGCCTGGATAATTTTTCATACATCTTGGTAGTAGCAAATCCTTTTATGAAGTTGGAGATTTTTGACCTTTAGTACTGGGAAAAATTTCCTTTAATTATTTCCCCTTTTTATTTTCTTTGTTCACTTTTCCTGAAATTTCAATTAGTTGGGAGTTTTAGCTTCTGAATTAAAACTCTTTTTTTCTTTCTATTTTTCTCATATTAATCATCTATGACTTTTAGGGTAACTTTTTAAACTTTACCTTTTAATGTCTATTGAATTTTTGTTTGGATGATTATACTTTGATCATATTTATAATATCCTAGGGCTATATTTATCTCATCCACAAACTCTTTGATGCTTCCATCAAAAAGTGGAGCCTAATAATCTTCCTTTTATGTATGGGCAGTATTTAGTGACTTGTATCTAATGAATAAGGGGAAAAAAAAGAGGAAGTAATGGTATGACTTTGGATAGCAGGTTATAAAGAACACTGTGGCTTTCTGACTGCTTTTTCTCTGGGTTATTTGCTCTGGGGAAGCCAGTTGCCATGTTGTGAGACTGTACAACTATTTTTATAGAGAGGTCTGTGTGTTGAGAAACTGAGGTATCCTGCCAATAGCCATGTAATAAACCATCTTAAAGAGAATCATCCGAATGTTTAGAAAACTGAAACTTAGCTAACAGCTTGACTGTAGTTTCATGAGAGACCCTGAGCCAGAACCACTTAGCTAAGTTGCTCCCAGCCAGATTCTTGACTCAGAAATTGTGTGAGATCATAAATGCTAAAAGTTGGAACTTTGGGGGAGTTTGTTTTACAGTAACAGATAGCTAACACATCTTACTATTGAGTCTTCCTTTTTAAATTCAATTTCATTTTTAACTATACATACTAATATAAAAATTATACATATTTATGGATGCCATGTAATTTTCTGATACATGTATACATTGTATAATGTTGTAAACACATTTTCTCAAACATTATTTCTTTTTGGTAAAAATATTTAAAATCCCTTTTTCTAGCTTTTTGAAATATACAGTACGTAACTGTTATCTGTAGCCATCCTACTTAGCACCCATTGATCAAGCTTTTTCCATACCTCCTCTCATGCCCCCTACCCAGTTCATAATAGTCATCATTCTAAGCTTAACTATGAGATCAACTCTTTAAGATTCTGCATGTGAGTGAGATCATGTGGTACTTGTCTTTTGCACCTGGCTTATTACTTCTACTTCCATCTATGTTTTTTCAAATGACAGGATTTTATTCCTTTCATGGTTGAATGGTATTTTGTGGTATAAATGTACCACATTTTCTTTATCCATTCATCAGTTAATGGACCAAGTGCTCCTTTTTGTTCTTGTTTCACAGATGACCTACCTTCTTTTATTTCTTTGGGTGTAAATAGTCTTTATTTTTAAAAGATTTCTTTTGCTCACTGAATTAATTCCTTAGACTAACTGACATAATACCTTTATTTTATTTGTTTATTTTTATGTGGTGCTGAGGATCAAACTCAGTGACTCATACATGCTAGGCAAGCACTCTACCACTGAGCCACAACCCCAGCCCTCCTTAGACTGAGTGCTTAGTGAGTAAGTTTCTTCCTTCTTTCCTTCCTTCCTGCCTGCCTGTCTTCCTTCCTAGTTAATTGACAAAAAGTCAAAGATAGAGAAGAGCATACAGATTCTGGAAGTGAGGTGGGAGGACAGGACACAAACAATGGCAAATGCCTGTTACAGGAGTCAAGAAAGATAAAGTAGGAAGAAAAGAGAAATATCTCATAACAGAAAGATAGCTATTAATATATTCCAAAGATTGGTTGATTTGGCTCACTCATAAATAAAGGAAAGCATTAAGTATATAAAGTCTTTCTACCTGATTTAATCAACTATTATCAGCACTCAAATTCATTAATTCACTCCAACTTTGGCAAAGACTTCTTTTTCTGTACTAGAGATTGAATTCAGGGGTACTCTACCACTGAGCTACATCCCTCTCCCTATTTATTTATTTAATTTTATTTTGAGATAGGAGGGTCTCTCTTAGTTGCCCAGGCTGGCCTTGAACTAGGAATCTTCTTGTCTTATCCTCTGGAGTCACTGAGACTATAAGTGTGCACCATCACATCTGAATCTAAAGACTTCTAATAGAGTGTACATTCGAAGTACTCAGTGATAGCCAGGCACTGTGGTGCAAGTTTATAATCATATGTCTTGGGAACCTGAGGCAGGAGAATCTCAAGTTTGAGGTCAGCCTTAGCAAGTCAGTGAGGTCTGAAGTAACTTAGTAAGACCATGTCTCAAAAAAAAAAAAAAAAAAAGGGCAGGAGTGTGTGGGACTGTGGATGTAGCTCAGTGATAGCACCCCTGGGTTCAATCCCTGCAAAAAAAAAGAAATAATCAATGGTAGTTCTATATGGTTTTACTTGAATTTTCCTGTTCCTAATGCTATATGATAAGTAAACCAAGATGTTACAAAACCATGTTAAGAAAACCTACATATTTTTGTACAATAAATGGACTTAGCATTGAATTAATCTAATAGTAGTTTTCAAAGTTAAAGGTCAGAATCTTTGTGGACCCCATCATGAATTGTCTATAACCTTGAGTAAATTTTTTAAAATTTAGGAGGCACTTTTATAAAATATGAATACTTATTAAGCCTATCTCAAAGTATAACAATTTAATGAGGAAATGTGCTTAGAATAGTGTCTGGCATAGCAATCCTCTTCTTCCTTCATTTTCTCCATCTCCTTCTCTTCTACCTTTTATTTTTTCTTATTATCAATGTATTGCATGATCCTTGACTCTATCTTGGAGATCTTGAATCT